TTAAGAAAAATAACGTAGCCATGTGTGTGCTTTCACGGCTATGTAAGTGGGTGAAAACCACTTGTAAACTCTTGATAGCAGCTTCCTTCTTCCTTCCTTTCTCTCCATTCAGCTTCAGGAGGGTTTCAATCAGGCAAGCCAGGGGGCAACGAAGGAACACAGTTCTAGCCTCCAAGGAAGGCAGCTTAACCCTGGGACTCCCTGCGGGGACTACTATCAACACTTGGTGTTTAGGTAAGTGGTCTTCTCCACTTTGTTTCCATGAAATAGGCTACCTGGATCTGACACTCACTAGGACAGCAGCTTCCCTTGTTACAATGACTTCATTGATGGGTACCTAGATTGTATTATTTTTAATCCTCAGAGTAATTTCTTCAAGAGTCATATGGAAGAATTCTATCCCAATAAGAGTGCTGTAACTTTTTCTATGGTTAGTGAGAAAAACTCACTTCCAGAGTCATCTGTGACTATCTTAAAATAATAGGAAATAAACTTCTTAGATACTCTGATGTATACCAGGGCTCAGTGAAAATAAGGAAGGGATAATTAAAGCAATAGGTGAAAAAGAGGCCCTTCCATGTTTACCTAAATTTGGGCCTGATTGTCTCTATTAATTACAGCAGAGTGTATATGAGAACACATGTGTATGTTTTTTCTCACATAGGTTTGGTAGATTCACACAGAGGAAAAATATTCAGACCAACACCACTAACTCTAGGCAGTATTGGGACAAACATCTGCTATGAGCCACAGAGGGCCAGATGGAAAATAATTCAAGCACACATTGCCTTGATGGTGGGGGTAGTGACGTGATTTATACAAAAGTCATAGCAGATTTAGCTGGGAAGGTTTTTGGCTGCAATATCTCACTAGATGGCACATAATCCTATTGGTATTTTATCATTAGCCCTTTCCTCTTTTAAAATATATTTTTTAAGAGAAAAGGTAAAGAAGTTTTTTATGTTTCCATATCTTCTGCTACTAAAAGTCTTCTAGAATCTAAGTAAGGAGTTTTAATAAAAGAACCCATAAGTGACCTTAAATCATGAGAAACATATAATTCAGTAACACATATTTGTTTTTCCTTTCTTAGGTAAATATGTTTCTTAAAGGTATGCCACAGTTTTTATACTGGGAGTTTTATTAGGCAGAAGGTAAGCAAATGGATAGTGTGGCATTAATGTGAACACTACTACAAATACCATGGTATCATGATGCCCTGAAAAATGACCAGGGAGTCAAAACACTGGTTCTACTCTCAGCATGGTACCATCAAGATCTTCCCACCTATTTGGGCCTTGGTAAAATATGAATAATATAGAGAAATGACAGCCTCTTCAACAGCTGGTGTTAGCAAAACTGGACAGCTACATGTAAGAGAATGAAACTGGATTACCATCTAACTCCACACACAAAAGTAAACTCGAAATGGATCAAAGATCTGAATGTAAGTCATGAAACCATAAAACTCCTAGAAGAAAACACAGGCAAAACTCTCTTGAATATAAACATGAGCAACTTCTTTATGAAATCTCCACAGGCAAGGGAAACAAAAGCAAAAATGAACAAGTGGGACTCTATCAAACTAAAAAGCTTCTGTACAGCAAAGGACACTGTCAGTGGAACAAAAAGGCATCCTACAGTATGGGAGAATATATTCATAAATGACACATCCAATAAGGGGTTGCTATCCAAAATATACAAAGAGCTCATGCACCTCAACAAACAAAAAGCAAACAACCCTAATTAAAAAATGGGCCGAGGATCTGAACAGACACTTCTCCAAAAAAGAAATTCAGATAGCCAATAGGCACATGAAAAGATGCTCCACATCGCTAATCATCAGAGAAATGCAAATTAAAACAACAATGAGACATCACCTCACACCAGTTAGGATGGCCAAAATCCAAAAGATAAGCAACAACAAATTTTGGTGAGGATGCAGAGAAAGGGGAACCCTCCTACACTGCTGGTGGGAATGTAAATTAGTTCAACCATTGTGGAAAGCAGTATGGAGGTTTCTCAAAAAACTAAAAATAGAAATACCATTTGACCCAGGAATTCTACTCCTAGGAATTTACCCCAAGAATGCAGCAGCCCAGTTTGAAAAAGACATATGCACCCCTATGTTTATTGCAGCACTATTTACAATAGCCAAGAAATGGAGACAACCTAACTATCCATCAGCAGATGAATGAATAAAGAAGATGTGGTACATATACACAATGGAATATTATTCAGCCCTAAGGAGAAAACAAATCCTACCATTTGCAACAACATGGATGGAGCAAGAGGGTATTATGCTCAGTGAAATAAGCCAGGCAGTGAAAGACAAGTACCAAATGATCTCACTCACCTGTGGAATATAAGAACGAAGAAAAACTGAAGGAACAAAACATCAGCAGAATCACAGAACCCAAGAAGGGACTAACAGTTACCAAAGGGAAAGGGACCAGGGAGGATGGGTGGGAAGGGAGGGATAAGAGGAAAAAGAAGCATTACAATTAGCACACAGAGTGTAGTGGGGACGGGCACGGGGAAGGCAGTATAGCACAGAGAGACAAGTAGTGACTCTATAACATCTTACTACACTGATGGACAGTGACTGCAATGGGGTATGGGGTGGGGACTTGATAATGGGGGGAATCTTGTAACCACAATGTTGCTCATGTAATTGTATATTAATGATACCAAAATAAAAAATATGGATAACAACATCTGTCCTACTTACTCACATGCAAGACAAGGCATTAAGTAGTAGCATTTGGGAGGAAGGGGCAGAGCACTACAGAAATTTAAAGTACATTCTTATCCTATGATTCTACAAGGAAAAAAAGCTAGTCAACCACTGACACGTTTGGACCACATAATGCCAGGTGTTTGGTGCAGGATAAACATCTGGATATGTGATTATATTTTTTATTCTTCCTCCAGATGTTGGGATATTGTAAATGTTAGGGATAAGCAAAACATTACTTTGAGCATGTGAAAATGGGACCTGGTGAAAAGAATAAATTATTAATTGGATGCTAGCAGAATGTTTCAAAGAATGATAACAAAGTAGGATGAGAAAAACATTAGTATCATACAACTCTGTATTTCTGTCATGAGGGCAAAGGTCTCCAAATCAGAAGGAAGCCTCAGCTCTTCTCTCTGAGACCATGATTTTATAGCATTTCTTCTAATACACTTATAATTTCCAATTGCATAATTCAATTTTGTATTAGGACAAGGATGTTAGAATACTTTGCTGGTTTCAAATGATTTAGATGATAATTACTTAACATATGATGAATAATTACTTAACATAGGTTCCAAAAGAGCCACTGCTTTTTAAAAAATTTTTTAAGGAATAAGGAACATCACACAATACTAATGTATTAATTTGTAGTTATATCTGAATTCAAGTCTAACATTCCTCTTTCAGATGCAGAAGTCATTTACAGTGTGCTTTTAGTCAAACACTCTCAGTCTCTATTCACCGCTTCTCTGAAGGCAAAAATGACATTTGCTTTTTATTTTCCTGAAAGAATACTGAAATAACTTTATTTCCCTCAAATGCATATTATGTATATACAAAAAGCGTATTTCCTGTGTTCTTACTGAAGTTTAAAATATTCTGTCATTTTAATTGGATGGAATGGCCTCAAGTTTGACTGTAGCTGGACAAAAATACTTGAAAAACCATCTTTTTGCCAGAAATATCAAGTAGATTAAAAATCTTGAGGACAAACAATATTTATACAGACAATTCTCTCTCAATTCCTTAGAACTGTTCTGTATTTCACAGGTTAGACAACCATTCTGTAAACTGTTGGAGGCACAACCCTTAGAGTTAAAAGTCCCAAGATTAAGTGCTAAACTACAACTTTGCAGGGGAATATTTTTCATCTTGTCTCTGGAAATTCCACAATTTAGATAAAGCAGTGATATCAGGCAGGGTTTGGAAAGCACAGAGCTGTCATAGAACAGTCTGTTTTCCTGATACTGAGTCTCAATATTTTAAGACCAGCATTACTCATCTATGACTGAGCCATCTGCTTGGGACAATCTTCCACGGTTCAGGGACCAGGAGTAACTGGAAGTGATGGAAAGCTGTGGGGGAGCCAGTTTGCTCATGCAGAATGAGCCCTGAGGCTCGGAGAGCCAGTGAAGTATCGGACAGGCAAGAGTGTTCCGTTACATTCAGTTCTGCTGAGGTCCTGGAGTCCTGCCTTGCTTAAATTAAACTTTATGCCATATTTAGTCAACCCTCTTAGAGTTAAAAGTTTGGTGTCTCTGTTATCTTCAGTTAGCTAAGTTTACATCAAGGGTGGGAGCCATAACACTAGATTAAACCAAACATTGCCAGCTGTATGTCCATCAACACAAGTTGCATAGGTGCCTGTGCCCAAGAAAATGGGCTTACAATTCACAGACTAATCAGGAAAACATCTGATGCTCCAAGGCTGCAGTGTAAAATATCATTTTTTCTTCTCCAAATAAAGCTAAGATGACAGGGCATTTCTCCAGGGAGAGCCTGTCTGTCTGCACACAAGCATCTACATCCCAACCACGTGCCAGTCATTGTTACTATTTTCAAGTTTTTTCTCTTCAATGTTTAACTTCTATTTTCACCAGGTCAACATTTTTCCTAGCTTGCTTTGATTAATTTTATTCTCCATCAGTTTAACTTAAGCCACACAGACAATTCCTAGGGAAAGAACATATAAAGTGGTCATTTTATTGGGCATATCTAGTAAGTAAATAATACCCAAATTATAGAGTACTAAGTTAATACCCTGTAGTCTAGGATTAAATGTCAGAGTCAGTCTTATTTTCAATGCACTCCCTTTTCAATGATCATACACTGACGATCTTTATAAACGATCTGACTTCAATATAAGTGGCTCCGCAGACATCTGGTTTATGAGCGGCAGCCCAGGTTGCCGTCAGTGCCTTGACTCACCCTTAGTTGCCTCTCAGCATTAGTTTGCACAATCTGCTCTCCCGACACTCACCTTGGGGATGCTGAGGTGTTCCTGGAGAAGAGGAGGATCCCGTGAGAGCCTCCTGTGCATCTAGAGATGAAGGGTTCCAGCTCTGAGGGGTGGGGGAGGCAGGGACGGCCGGTGAGCTCAGGTCCAAGGAGAGGTCACCTCTGCCCCGGCTCGTACTCCGGCTTCTCAGTTCCTTCTCACGCGCCTCAGCTGCCACCTGCTCCAAGTATTTGTATCTGAAAGTTAAATTCCAAAGGGTTTCCGTAAAAAGAAAGAGGAGCCCGTGGCTGATGCTTGTTTATGGATGAAACACCTGCAGAGTGGTCTCCTGATGCCCGGAGTGCGGCACAGGGCTGGCTGAAGGGCCAGTCTGCCAAAAACACCCAGCAAAGCCAAGATGCTAATGATTAAAAATCCTGCATCATTCATAACCAAACAAATTGGGGGAAATGGCAACATCACACAGTCTCCAGGCACTGGATCACTGCTGCAGAATCCTATTTTGCCCTTTTAGGAAACATTTGTACAAAAAAGCAAAACAGCAATAAAGACCATCACAAAGCTCCAGCAGTGACAGCCGAAAACCACACGCCCTCAGAGCTCACAGCTGTGAAATGTGAGGGTGCCTGGGTGTGGCAGAGAGAAACAGTGCCCCTCCAATTACCAAAAGGGATTGTTGGATGAAGTCCCCTCTGAATTTCTGAACCTGCTTCAAGGCTAACAGCAGTGCGGCTGGAATTCACTTTGTTCTCTCAGTGTTGACCATGGAAACTTTTTTATACTCTGAAATATTTCTGAGTAGGACTCAGACATCCAATAGCTAGGACCTGACGTCACATATAGTTTATTCATCAAAGTCAGTTTAAAAGAACAAAGATACATCTGTTTTGCATTTCAGGCAGGCAGAACCCACTAACTGTTTATTAAGACCAGCTACCAATCATATTCCTCATAGTGTGCTTTATAGATCAGACCAAAATAACTTTGAAATATGTGCCCCTTCCAGATGTTTGCTAATTTTACCCACCATTATTTGTTCAGAAATAAATTTATGAATTCAGTGGTAGCAGGGTTCTGACTATCTCACCCACCCACTAAACTTTGAAACAGCTTGTTCAAGACCCTCACCCATACCATCCAGATTCACCACTTCGGTACCTACCAGCAGGCAAGGCCCCAGCTTGGCCCACAACAGCCCCCACCCAGACACTGCATGTGTTACTCCTAATTCACCTGATAAGGCAGAGCACATACATAAAACCTTTAACAAGAATGCACTTAAAAAGCATACATTTCTTCATGCAGCCTATAGGTGGGTGTGGCTCCCCCATGTCTGTGACTGTCACCCTTTCTCCCTGCAGGTCCAAAGGCGGTCTGCCCTTCAGGCCAGTTTTACATGCACATCTCCCTCTTGTGAGGCCTGCCTTGACCACCACAGCTGGAAGTGATCTTGGCCTTGCCTCTGAACTCATGTTGGATATGTCATCCACTCAACTCAGATGGCATTTTACATTTACTGCCTGGCATATTTAGTCATCTTTTCATATGTGTATGTCTGTTTTCAACAAGCAGATAATAGGATTTTTGAGAACAGGGAGATTACTATCCTTTGTTCTTTCCCTCAGCACCTTGCATTTGTTGGCTGATGGGAAGCAGGCAAAGGGCGCACCTGAGAAACGTGAGAGGCAGCAGAGCTCTACCTGCAGCACAGAAGGCCAAGGGAGCAAACGCACCCTCTTCCACTTCCTTGGGGACTGAAGAGCAAATCTCTGGTAAAAGTCGTGTGATGGGTCTGCATATACAAACATCAGGGGCATGGCCTGGAAAACAGCTGCCTTAGAGTCACAGGGCAAGTGAGCTAAGTTCAGACAGCAAGCCTTAGAGACTCTGGATGGGAGTACACACACATCAGAATTTATTGAGCTATACACTAAAATTTGTGCATTTTTACTGTCTGTATGTCTATACAAAAATAAAAGACAAAAAAACCCCAAACAAATAATAGGACTTGCACAAATAAGGGGAGATCAGAATCCCGAGGCAGGAAAGCAGTGCTCTTACAAAATCAGAAGAGTCCCAGGAGGTGGCAATGAAGTCTCCCACAAAAGGCTTCAGGCCATGAGGACAACCATCTATGGCATTCATTTCCTGGTCTCTTGGTACTCCTCCCTGTAGGCAGCCTGGCTGGCAGGTGCGTGCTGGCAGCCAAAGGGTTCACCCCATTTCCTGGGGGATGCCGGAAGTTGTTCATCTAGAGACTGGGTGGATATGACTCAAAGCCTTCTCCTGTGCACCCCTCGGTCTCAGGGATATCATCCTTGAGGGTGCATGAGCATGGGGAGAGTCAAGGGGTAGTCTGAATTCTTCCGCAAATGTTTTATGGGGTAGAAAAATGGCAGGTGATGGGATTGGGACTTGTTTATTGGTTGTAAAGTTTCAGTTTTTCAAGATAAAAAGAGTTCTGGAGATTGGTTACACAACAATGTAGATGTACTTAACATTACTGAATCCTACACTAAAAGTGGTAACTTTCATGTTATGCGTATTTTGCCACAATTAAAGACTTTTAAGAATGGCAGGTGCAGGAAGGCATGGAGGTCAAGAGCCACTAAATCTTCATGAAAGAGCATCAGTGTTCATCTGCAGTGGGCTGAAGTGCTTGCCAGAAGGCATTTCCTGTCCATGACCTGTCATCCCCTTCAGACTGATCCCTTCCCTGTCCCCAGCCTGGATCTCATTCACCACTACATTGTTAAAAGAAAAATTATTTATGAATCTCACTTCGATCAATCATGATCATAAAGCCTATTAAAAATATTCAAAGTAGTATCTCAAGAGAAACTTACTCTGGGTCTGCACCATTGTCAATAAAACAGTTTTCTTGAAATTATGGAATGAGATGATATGATAAAATCAAAAGTGTCTGGATGGTCACTACACCTCAAAATAGCAAACCAATATTCATCTCACTGCACTGATGATACAAACCTCAAAACCTGTTGTGACTCTGCCATCTTCTTCTGAGTCATTGCTTTTAAAGGGAGAGATATGGAACCCAACAAACATGCCTGGCTGTACCTTAAGGAGTTAACAGTGGGAGTCTTCTTATGTCTGAACCTCCTTCCCTATCCACTTCCAAATTCCATTATACTTGGAAATCTTATCTTTTTCTGGCCTATCAGGAACCCCAACAACTCTCCAAACTTTTATTTTTCCCCCATTTCCATCTTCACCAGGTTACTGAAGAAGCAAGCCAACCAAGAAAAGTGGCTGGTCCAAACTGAAGGAAAATGCTTGGCTCCCTCCCCAAACCTCATGCAAACAGACAGATGAACTGGAAGGAAAGATCCCACCTGGGGCCATAGACAGCCCACTCCCGTACCAACTAAGAAGGCCCCATTAGATGGGCAGCATGGAAATGAGTCCTGAAGTCAGAACAGGAGGATACAGAAGGAGAAGCAAACTCCTCTGCATAAGTTTTCTAGGCATAAATGATGCTCTGCTTTGGGAAAAAGAGCAGTAGGTAATATCCAGAAAGAGGTAGCCTTTGGTGGTTTGGGAAAATTTGAGGTCTGAGCCAGTATAGACCTTGATACATCCTCAGGAGCTTTCAAGCCTTGTCTGTATAGGCATAACCTGAGAATCAAGTTGTCAGAAGTTTAGAAAAGTGAAGAATCTGGAGGGAAAGTTAAAAGCCAAAATTTGATTTCTTAAGCTTGGGGCATATAGTGAACGACATTTTTGGTAAAAGTGTATGTCATGTACCTTAGTATCAAAGCAGGTATGAATTAGAGAAATAGAAGTGTTTTGTTTCTTTACCAAGATCTTTCGCTGTAAATTTGCTGGCCACTGCTGGCTCAAAGGATGGCAATAATCTAATAGAACGCTGGAATTAAAGCAAAGCCACAGTTTTGTTTATGTGAGAGATGCTCATGACCTAAGCATCTAATTTTCTAATTGAACAAAGATGTCACTCCTCTTTTCCCCCAGACTGTCCTAATCTACTTAGCTGAAGGTGTTTATGAAAATTCAGCAAAATTCCACTTTTTATTGGTATAGTTCAGAGATGGTGAGGTTCCCAGCTGGGTCTGGTATGCAATCAGCCTTTCCATGGCTCTATGCAGTAACCCCACCTTGTGGTAGAGGGGATAACTGCAGGCTGCATAGTGCTACAGACTAAAACTTGTCTTTTGGTAGTTTATTTTTAAAAAGTTCCCTTTACTTATCTAAATTTATCAGACCCTGAATACATTTATTTGTATCTTTTAATGGCATTCAAAGTATGCTGCCATTGATATTAACAAAGTGGCTTACAGCTCAAATAATTTAAACAAAGCTGTTGGTTCATTTGCTTATTTATTCCATATGCCCTTCTGAAGTGCCTACTACATACCAAGCCCTGGTGGAAACTGGGACACCAAGAAAAACCAGGCATTGTTACTACCATCAAGGGACTGAGTATAGTTCAGTAGAGAAACAGGAAAATTATCAGGCATATTCAACAAGGGCCTCAAGAATGTCTGGCAAGCCAACTAATGCCTAGCATAGCGTATGTGTTTAATATTTGTTGAAGGAATGCTGAACAAGTGACCCGGAAGCACACAGTAGGGACACCTAACTCAGGTTCAGTTGTGGTGGTACAGGGTATTTAAAATACATACCATATGTCAATATGTTAGACTAATGTGCTACTTTGAAGAAGAGTTCTGGAGGAACAGACACATGTATTTCACTCCACAATGACAATAAATAATAAATCTGCACCTTCTTGGAAAAGTTAGATGACTAGGATATTCTGTTCTGCAAAATACCAGTCATCTAAGGTCTTAGGTAAAACTATTATATTTTAATTAACAGTTTCCTCTGCATGCTTGGTTAAGAGTGCAATTTGGTTACAATGAGAAAGAAGAGATATACAAACCTTTCTTCTCTTGCTTGTCTTTGTTCCTCTCTTTTGTCTAAATACTCTCGGCTAATGGAAATATGCAGAAGAGACAAAATAGGGAAGGAAAATAACAGAATTAGATGCTCATAAAATTGCCAAGAAATTATTAACAGTATATCATGAAAGCTCACAACTGTCTCAGAAGTGGCAGGTGGCTATAGTTGAATTAAAAAGTATATATAAAGGCTGTACTTTAAAAGTACTAAATATAACGGGTTTTCTATAAAATCATGGGGATGGAAACATGGGATTATTGGATTCAGAGAGAGTCTATTAGTTACTGAAAGAAGAATTTAATTATATGTAGGGAGGGGAGAAGAAAAGCTTTTTAAAAATGTGAAACAATACATACATAAATACGGCAGTTACAAGCAAACAATAGCTTTCAGCGGTGATTAACCTCCAATCAAGTGCTAGTAGGTCTACAACTGTTGCCTCAAGAATTAAAATCTGAATGAGCCCCAGTGAACTGGCCATTTTGTGTTGTACTCTACAGTTTGGACATTACATGGCTCAGGATTCTTTCTCTGTATCCCTCACATTCTCAGTTTCTATGCAGGGATCACTGGAAAACTTCTGCTATGTACATTCTCTTTTGTCTGCTCCCATAAGATGCACAACTTTGTCCAGTTTTAATGTTTGATTTTCTGTTCCTGCTGGTGAGATTCCAAATTGAATCTGATTTTAAGACTGTGTGGCCAGTCACTTCTCAGTGGACTCTGTATTTTCGTAAAGAAGTCTAACATTGTTTTTCTAAACTGGACCTCATAATATAGCCTAAGTGTTCTACTCCCTCCATGTGCAGGCAAGTGCTCTATCATTTTGTTCTCTTGACTTCTCTACTCTTTATGATTTTCTTATCATTTTCTAGCTTCCTTGGGTCCTCCTTCCTGGTCCTCTAGCCAGAAAGCATGAGCTTTATTTCCCCTGATCTGCTGCATCCTTTTGGTAAGTCCTTCTGCACCCAGAGCAATGCAGCAGGAAGACACAGAGAGAAAAATGGTGATACCTAGTGTTCTTGGAGTCACAGCTGTTCTGGTCAGAGAAAGGGTTACCCTCCCTCAGAGTTTTAGACACCTGCCTGGCCACTGCTGCCACCACTGTGCTTCTGAAACAATTATTGCTTGGAAGCTGGGGTAGGAAGGAAGGAAAACTATGAAAAAACAGACTTCTCCACTCTCTGACCCTTAGAGGAATTCCTTTTGCTGCTCCTCAGTCCAGAAAGAGAGGCTTTCTCTTAGACTTCTTTCAGTTCACATTTGGTATGTGTTTCTGGGTTTGGGGGCACCTCTGAGTACAGGCCAGATGATACCGAAGGGAAAAAATGGTAAACTAACACTGTTTGGTAGAACTTCAAATGCTAGTCTCCTTTCCCAATTCACCCACTCCCTTTTACAGTTCAGAGTTTGCAGAACTCCATGCATTCTGTCCATGATTTATGGCTGCATTTCAGTGATGCAGTAGAAGAGACAGGATGGAGTGTGCTGACTCCATCTTTCCCAGAACTGGTACCCATTTTAAGAGGTTTTCAATAAAAATCTTTACTTGTGTAAGCCAATCTCAGAATTTTCCATGTGTTTCAGGCAGATTCTTTGCTGCTATTTGGTGGTAAAATATACAGATCTCTCAGAAAGCCATTAATCAGGAAGCATTTAACCTGTTCCAGTGGTTTTACAAATTGGTCTTTCCAAAAGTGAAAACTTCCAGAGCTACCTCATGAGAAATTGTGCAGACAGGTCTGGTGCTCGCACATACCATTTGGTAGGACTCTGACAGCTCAGCGTACATCACACAATGGTGGGGGAATGATGATGATTTACTCCATAAAGGCGACTTACCAATCTTACAAAAGCCAGGATTAGCATTTCACTCACAAATTTGGGATATTTGTTTTGATGGGGTAGCAAGTTACAGTTAAGACAATTTCACAACTCTGTTCATATTTTGATGATTTCTGATTACACATACACTTCCTACCTTCTGGGAAAATAAAGTTTTGAACCTATAAATCCTCATTTGCAATGCTTACACTGGGAGTAGTTGCTGGGAATATTGCTTGCCAAAGAAACTGAACTGAGGAAATAGGAAGTGGAGATGGGGAGAGAAAAGCAAACAATAAAGAATGTAGATGTTACAGGACAGGTGGAGTTACAGGGAAGGTGAAGGGAAAGATTAGGAAGCCAAGAGGGAAAAGGGGGAGGAGGAGGAATGGAATGCAGAAGGAAGCCTTGGCAAGTGCCCTGCATCCCATAAAGCACTGCGCAGCATGGACCCCAGTGGAGAAGGGTGGGGGCTCCACTAGGGGCCCGGGGAGTCAGGTGAGCAGGCTGAAGGAGAAACGGAATGATGCTGGGCTCATCAGGGGCAGACAGGCTAAGGCAGGAAACCTGGGGTGGGCCACATCCAGAAACACTCCTTGGAGCAGGACAGAGACTAAAGACATGAGTGGCATCACAGGCTAGGAGTATTCAGCACAATGACTTTTTCTTCCTCATAGGAGAGGTTACTGTTTAAAATAATATAATGACGACTGCTACAGGGAGCAAGGAGCAGACCAGAAAGTGGGAGAAGTATTTTTTTTAGGCATCCAATAGAATATGAATAAAACATGAGTAGCTTTAGGGGGAAATGGCAAATTAAGTTAAGACAATTAGGCTCTCTGTCTTCAGGAAGGCCTGGATAAGACCATTTCCGATAATGGACCCAAGAATACACAAGTCCTTAATTGTATTTGGTTGGCTGGCTGTGCTTCCTGCCATACGGTTAGAGAAAAATAGGCCGTACCAAACCAGATCCAGCCTATTTCAGGCATGTCTTGCTCTTCCTTGAAAACAGAGACAGAATCTGAAGTAAATATATTATTTCCTAATTCTTCACACCAGTATTAATCATATACAGCATGAAGGCATATGCTTTAATTTTTAATTTAAAAAATCTTAAAACCCTTACTTGAATTTATTTCTTTCTTCCCGTTCTATTCTCTGCAACCTTTCTTCTCTCTCCTGTCGCCGTCTCTCTCTCTCTGCTGCCAGTGACTCTTGGTGCTGCCTAAAGGATGACGTGAGAAGCCCACTCAGTGATGACCTAGAGATATTAATAATGAGTTAACATTTTAGTGGCCTGGACTGTGACTGAAAGTATCGAAGTAGGAATCAGTCAGACTGTGGTTAGAGTCGAGGATCTGCCAGTACCTAGGTATTGCTTGGGGAAAATTACTGAACATATCAGGATCTTCATCTGTAAATGGGGGTGAGAAACCTGCTTTATGCACAAGGAGGAAAAAAGGTGGTAATGTATGTAAAATACTAAGCATGATGATGCTTAGCATGTAAATAGTCATCAATAATGGACATTACTGCTCTCAAAAATTATTCTAGGAATATACATAAAATATAACTAAATATTCTGCCCCCTCCCATGTATATGTGTGTGTGTGTGTGAGTGTGTGTGTGTGTGTGTGTGAGTGTGTGTACATATGCACATTTTGAACTTGATCTATGTTAAGACTTTGATGAGCTGGAATCAATATTCAATCCAGAATTGTTTTCTATTTCACATGTATCAAAAATATTTTATTATACAGCAGTTTCTCAATATATCTCCTCAAAATAATTGTGTCACCTTAAAACAGGTGACAGGATGACATAGGAGGACAAAAAGACACAGCAATGGTCTGAAATCTGAATGGAGTTAAGGAAGTTTCACTCTGTCTAGAAGCATCTGGGAACAGACAGTATGTTCCAAGGACTTGACTCTTGTGACACCACACGAGCAGACAGATCACCCAAGATGGTGTAATGGGGACATCAGCTGTGGGGAAGTTGCAGTGAGGGGATGGGGGTGGGTATCAAGGGAAATGTTAAGTCATAAGACTGGGTGGTAAAAATGAAAATTAGGTGATTACATGAAAAATAAGTAAAGAAGTTAGAAAGAGGAGCTCTGGGGAATAATCAACAACATCTGTATGGACAACTGGGTCTTCGTTTATTGAAAATTAAAAAAAAATCTCTAAAATATTTCTGAAATATGGCTTGGGTAAAATACAGTGAAAATAGCCTGCCTGGTGGGAAACACAAGGTCTGTTACTGCAA